CCTCAGCCTTCAGAGTAGCCGGAATTACAGGCATGCGCTACCACGCCCGGCTGATTTTTTGATTTATTGTAGAGATGAGGTCTCGTCTGCCCAGACGGGTCTTGAACCCGCAGGCTCAGTCAATCCACTCGCCTCAGTCTCCCAAAGGTGTGGAATTATAAGCTGAGCCACCGAGCCCGGCTTATCCTATACTTTTTAATTGTAATTTTAGAGTATACTCTTTCCACTTATAAAAACTTTGATTCTAAAATAGCATCAGGCAGGTCCTTCAGAAGGTATCCCAGAAGGCGGTGGTATTACCAAAGGAGATGACAGCTCTGTGTTACTGCCCTTCCAGTGGGACAAGATTTAGAAATAAGCCGGGCTTGGTGGCTCAGCCTGTAATCCCGCGCCTTTGGGAGGCTGAGGTGAGTGGATTGCCTGAGCCCGCGGGTTCAAGACCCGCCTGGGCAACTTGGCGAGACCTCATCTCTACAATAAATCAAAAATTAGCCGGGCGTGGTAGTGCATGCCTGTAGTTTCAGCTTCTTGGAAGGTTGAGGCGGAAGGATCACCGGAGCCCAGCAGGTCGAGGCTGCAGTAGCCGGGAGCGGCCACTGCACTCCAGTCTGGGTGGCAGAGTGAGACTCCAACTCAAAAAAAAAAGAAAAAAATGATGTAGACATAGAAGACTGACATTGATGATCCTGACCCTGAGTAGGCCTAGGCTAATATGCTTGTGTCTTCATTTTATAAAAAAAAAAATTTAAATAGGAAAAAGCTTATAGAGTAAGTAGATAAAAATATTTTTGTGTAGCTGTACGTGTTAGTGTTCTAAGCTGTTATTTACAAAATAGTCAAAAAGTTTAAAAACAGCAGAAGTTTATAAAGTAAAAAAGTTACAGTAAGCTAAGGTTAATTTATTATTGAAGAAAGAAAAGCTTTAAAAATAAATTTAGTGTGGCCTCAGTGTCCGGTGTTTATGAAGCCTACAGTGGTATACACTGATGTCCCAGGGCTTCACATTCACTCACCACTCATATGATCCACTCTCACTGACTCGCCCAGAGCAACTTCCATTCTGCAAGCTCCATTTGTGATAAGTGCCCAATGCAGGTATGTCATTTTTTACCTCTTAAACCACTTATTTACTGTACCTTTTCTATGTTTAGATATGTTTAGACATATAAGTACTTACTGCTGTGGTACAATTGCTTACAGTGTTCAGCACAGTCCCATGCTGTACAGGCATGAGCCCAGAAGCAGCAGGCTATGCCCTAGAGCCTAGGTATGTAGCAAGATCTACCATCTAGGTTTGCATAAGTGCACTCTATGTTTGCACAATAATAAAACCACCTAACAGTACATTTCCCAGAATATATGTCCATTGTTAAGTAATACATGAATGTATATCAGTTTGTTCTACTGCATTAATATCTATTTTTAATTATTTTAAATATTCAACTACATATTTACTATATTGCATCCTCTAAAAGTTTCTAAAATATTTTAAGGGACATCACTAAGTTTCTCAATTTCCAATATGCAAAATTTTATAAACATTTACTGGATTGGATCTCCTGTAATAATACTGTTGAGTTTGGTTTGTTCCTTAGAAAGATATATGCAAATGAATCTGTAGAGTTAAACTTTTATATTTTAACAAGAGCTCCTGTCATACATAAAATCAAGAGTCAGCTACTTTTCTTCATGATGGTATAGCTTTCAGCAAGACTCTATGCAGAATTGGGTGGAGGCAAGATATCTACTGCCAAGACATACACTTAATGAGTCTTTCTAGTAAGAAAAAGAAAACTCTTTAAATAATATAAAAGTGAGAAAGCACCCCTCTATGTATGTGCACTTGCCACAAGGTTATGCATATACTTGTGTATGGATACCAGGATTTGCCTTCAATATGAATTGTAAGAATGAGCTTGGGACACAAACCTAACATGAAAAACTGTCTCTACAAATATGCTGAAGCGAATTTAATAGAGGACTATATGGTAGGTTTCTCCTTGAAAGGGAAAACAATGTCCTCTTTTGCTCTGTAAATTTTAGAATTCTGTAATTTTTAGAAGGAAGAAGATAGGTCCCAGCATTCTAAGTCTTTCAATATTACTTGTGATAAGCTTTAGTTCACTAACAAAGAGAATAACAATTACCTGTATCTGTAGAATAAACTCGGAAACTCTTATCCCAGAAGCCACAGACGAGAATGTAGCGGTTGTCTGAAGTGATGACAAAGCACTGGGAATGCACTTGAATACTCTGGTCTAACAGGTCAGTGATTTGCCTCCTGTGCATTCCTGTATTGCTGGCTGTGAGAATAGAGGGGGAGAAACCTCATTAAATCCACAGGGACAAAGTAATCCTACAGTCTGTCATATTGGGAGTTGGGGGGTAAAGAAAGAGAGGAGACATGTTCCAAGATAAAAATGCTTTGTCTTTAATTTTAAGTATAATAATATTTGAAAAACCAAACAGGAAAATATATCTGACTGCTGGAAGAATGTAGGTAGCTAAATTCAATGTCTCAGTTAAAAAGTTTTGCTTTGAGGAAAGAAATAATAACATAGTATAATTTAAACATAGTATACAATTCACAGAACATGCTCTCTAGCTCTTGGGAAGAACCAAACTAGATTACAATTTCCAGACTGTATCACAGTTAGGTTTGTGTTTCTGACAATCTCATTACATCTATTGTCATGAGAATGGTTCATGTTGTGACAATCTATTACCTTTAACATTTTGTCACCAGGAAGAGATATTAGGATTTAAATGTCATATATTTGAAATATTGTAGCATCTTGTACTACTTTGGCTTTAACAGGTCTTTAATTTGACTAGATGGGAACTCCCATTTCCTCTGTTTACAGCTGCACTTGCATGTAAGGAAAGGGTAGAATGACTATTAAAGATTCTTGTAATTGAAAAAGTCAAAGCACAGCAGACTGCCACTTTCTTACTCCTTATTTAAGCAATAAAACAAGACAGGCTGGCAGTGTGTTTTCCAAGTGCTACGGAGCACCTGAGATGGGGTTTGTCACAAGGCAAAAGGTCAGACATAGAGCAAGACCAAGCACATGGGCAACAATCATCTAGAAATACACTATCGAGGGTGCCATTAACAGAAAAAGAATTTTCACTGAGATGCCTTTTTGGCATTGAGGCCAACCACACAGAAAGCTTTGTTTCTAGTGATCAAAGGGTTACTTTACCATCATCTTTCCAGTACAAATAAGGGTACTTATACAAAATACATTTCTGCATCTGATTAAGTTCTTTTTACCACAATTTTTAATTTAAAAAACCATCTATACATGATTGATAAAAATTAAAATAGAAAAATATCTGTATTACATTCATTTTATGTGATAACTAAATTAATGTGAATAGTTTAACAGAAAGCTCAGAAAGTAAAACAGAAGAAAAAATGTGTTCCAAATACTCTCCAGTGCTGAGCTGGGAATCAGTGGGGACAGAGGACTGAAGTAGCCCCTGCCCTCATGGCATACACAACATAGCAAACATGTACATAAATGTGCAATAAGGCAAAATTCTGCTAATGTTTGTAGGCACAACTTTATCACTTAAGACTATTAGATAACTGCTTGATCATGTAGGCTTCATATGCTTTTGGAGGATTAATGGGCCAGCAAGCAATAGCAGTAGTAAAAAGGGCAGAATCCTAGTTGGGAATCATTTTTTACACAAAGGGAGGTTGCTGGCAAAAGAGAAAAGCCTTCATGGATATCACAGTGTATCACAGAGACACAGGATCCAACTGCAATGAAACCGTGTGATACAATTATTTATTTATTTTTTAAATTTTCATTTCCAAGAAACCTAGTGATTAAAAACAAGGAATGTGGTACTTTCTACACTGTTTACTAGAAAACTTCGTTCCACATGAGAACTGTAAAAATGTTTATGTTTAAATAGGATTTTTGTTTCTATGATATAAACTTTCACTGGTCACTTTTTTGAGAGGGGGGGAGTAATCTCTCGGGAAGACCCCAACAGTTCTGGGTATGTGTACAATTTTGAAGTGAGTGACCACAAAGTACCCATGGGTAAAGGCTGATGCTCCCTCAGCCTTCAGTCTGTTTTCAAGCAAGTGCTTACTTGTAATTTGACGCTGCCAAGTCTCCTATTCATCTGAGGTAGACTTATCTAGATAAGCAGTCTCCAAACTGGGGAATGTATACCCTTATGAGTATTAGACATCCCAAAAAGACAGACAGGTTCAGATGGTTTTAAGGAAATATATTTTGGGTTCCTCAACATTCATACATTCTCTCGTCTGAAATTGATTTACATGAGAACTCTACTATGAATTTTCCTTTCTTATCTCTCCCTTCTCATGGCCTTCTTTCACTATATAAAATAAAGGCATTATTTCCCTTCCATGCAGAATCTTAGTGTGGTGCTTTAAATCTCTTGGGAGCCAAATAAAGGGACAATTCAAAATACCAATATGATACTAAAAAGTGAATATCTAGGTATCAAATCAATCTGCAGTTCAGGTGGTTTCCAATTCATTGCTTTCAATAAAATGAAATGAGGATCTAATTGTGCTATCAATTGGCAGATCATTAAAAATAAGTTGTAATGATAGATTGTTAAAATGAAAATTTAACAATAGACCATAAAAATAATTCTTAATAATACATTGCTATATGAATTTTTCCACTAACTCAGAAAGAGTTCAAAGATTTTGAGTGGCATGGTTAAAACAAAACTCTTTCCTTTCCCATTTATTTTTTTATGTGAGTAACACTGCTTGGAGCTTCCATCTATAAACACAAACAAATAGGATAGATGTACTGACAAATTCTGTCTTACTTAGAAATAGGTAATGTCTACCCATGAATGAGCTCATTAAAAGGAAAGCCCCATCCATTTCAGTAAAGATGCATTTCCAATTAATATTCATTTTTTAATGTTTGATAAATGTTTATTAAATTTTGCAATACAATCATAATAAGGATACATTAATATTTGTAATAATCACAATATAAATTAATTTTTCTAATGCTGAACCTTGTAGTTTGGGGCATTTTAAAATTTAAATTTAGATACATATGTTAAATTTTCTATACATATTTTTATTGCTGAAAAGAATAATAAGGTAATCAATTTTTAAAAATTAAGATAAAATTATGTGGAGGAAGTAGAATGAAAATATAAATTCAAGGTGAAATAGAAATAATGTGAAATTTCCAACTGTGAAATGTTTTGTGCATTTTTATCGTGATTCCATTTAATACATTAAAACAGTTTTACACTGTGCCAGATATGATAACCTTTACAACTATTTATACTTGAGATGAAAACCTTTAGCTGTCACTTGAGAAGATACATGGTTTAAAACAATTATTTTAGGGGTAGAGGAGCAAACACTCTGATGACCAGTGACCTAGAGCAAGGATGGCAGAACGATGGCCCAAGGGCCAAATCCGTCCATGCCTGGTTTTGTATATAAAGTTTTACTGGAAAACAGCCATGTTCTTTTGTTTGTATTTTATCTATGGTGGCTTCTGTGCTATAGTGGGAGAGTTAAATAAGGTTGAGTATCCCTTATCTGAAATGCCTGGGACTAGAAGTGTTTTGGATTTTAGAGATTTTCAAATTTTGGAATATTTGCATATACTGAGATATCTTGAGGAAAGGACCCAAGGATAAATATTAAATTCATTTATGCTTCAAATTAACCTTACACATATAGCCTGAAAATACTTTTATATAATATTTTAAATAATTTTGTGCCTGCAACAAAGTTTTGACTGTATTTTGACTGTGACCCAGCACCTGAGGTTCCAATTTTTAAAAAGTTTCAAAATGTGAAGGATTTGGATTTCAGATTTTCAGATTAGGAATGCTTAACCTGCAAGATGACCTTCTGGACCACATAGCCTGAAGTATTTATTACTACATGGCCCTTTACTGAAAATGTTTACTCATGCTTGGTTTAAAGGATTACAACTAGATTTTAATACTACAGAATATTCATTGTCAAGTTGTAATGCAAACAATAAGTCTATAATTCAGAAATAATGCTCTGACTGACTTAGCAAATGGACTTTATTGTTTTCCAGACTTTTAAAACTACCCAAGTGAGCATTTTGTTTTTTTCTAATATATGGCAAATCACATCTACTCAAAACAAAACTAGATTTAGGCACCAGAGTAATATTTATCCTTCATATAGATAATTACATCTTAGATTTCTGCTTATACTTGGGGAAATGGAGCTTAAGGTTATTTTTGTTCATCTTGATAGTATCTGTGAATGGTAGCCATTTAGCTCTCTATTGAAACAATGGTTTTAAAGACAAAAAATGTAACTACACATAGGCAACAGCTTGGATTTTAAATAAATCTGCTCATTTGTGTGCTTTCTTTAAAAACTTTAAAATTCCAACAAATTTATTTGTGTCAGGCAGATATGGCAAAATTACAAAGTCAAATATCCATGCTGGTAGCATACCCCTACAGCTAGGCAATTAAGTTTTTACTCCAAAAGTTATTGAATATCATCTTCAAAATCAAGGCTTCACATTCTTACTGATGCCATATTTGAAATCTCCACCCATAAGAATGAAACATGCAAAACTAAAGAGTTCAACTAATCTACTCGAAAAGCAAAACAGCAATTAAATATTACAAGTCATGTGCTGCAGATGCTCATTTCATCCCAATGGCTCTTTTTCTGGTCTCCTCCCTATTTTTTTCTTTCCTGAACAAATTTAACCTCCGATGGCAATTTATTGGGCTGTAGGACCCTTGGAAAATGAATACAAATATCTTAACACTACCATTGGCTGGGCAATATATTTCAACTTTGAAACTGCTCCGCAATTGCACATTAATTCCCTCGACTGAACAGAGGGTCCAGGAAGAAAGGATTGATCTCCTTTAATGATGAAACCCTGGCACTACAGTTTTATTTTTCACAACACAGTACTGCTAAGAACCCCACTGTTATTATGAAAATTTTCCTAGCAAAGGAGCTCCATCACATTACCGGTGCACCAATTCATCATAACGTGCCTCGCTCCTGCTCATCAACAAGTCTGAGTGATGAAAAGATCCAATATTATCCTGACAGTACTTCATGCGCATTCTCAATCACACATTATTACAGCATCCATATTAATTTTCAGTGACACGCGTCCTAGGCCTGTTCAAATTAGGCAAACCAACGAGGGGGAGTTGATGAAATACCAGCATAGCCACAGCTCATTGCATTCCAATTTGCATGCAAATGGTTTATCAGGAAAATTCCATTCCCAGCAACCAGCAAGTGAAAAACAACTGTAATCTACACTTCAGGGCCACCATACAGAGCTTAATGAATCGCAAAGAGAGAAGGAAGTGACAGACCTATGAGAGGATCGATTTCCACTGGCAGCTGGTATGGCTGGTCTTGTACAGCACCTTGATGAGCTGGAATTCACAAAAGATTTTAAAAAATGGCATTATTTTTTATATAATAAACTACATAAAAATGCATAAGCCAAACCTTATGTAGAATTGTTTCCAACCTCCAATTCTCTCATGCAGTTCTGAAAAATTTAAAGAACAAAAATCCAGGTGCTTTTACGGCTAGCTTATTAAACATTTATTTTAGATGAGTGCTGCTCTGAACATGTGCCATCCGCCAGTGGCTCCAGTCCTAGGCCATAAGCTATAGCAGATGCTTGACTGGCAACCTCTGATGCTGCAACAAAACAAAATTAAGTGGTAAAGTGCACTGAAAACAAAATGTGACAACCATCTGCTGACTGTAGCAAATACTGTTTTTTTGTTACTTCTTAAAAAGGCAGTTTTGAATGCTGCAGCACAAAGGATTCACAAAAATGTCAATTTATGATGAAGAAAGGGAAAGCTCTAAGTCAGGGAACATTTAATGTTTCATCCATCACTTAAAATCAATCAATTGAAAGTTTGAATAAAAATAAAGAAAGCTATCCATAGATAAACGTTTTAGTTAAATACATTTGGCTGAAATATTTTCTTAAAGACTGGATTGGAGGTTTTAAAAAGTTTTATTAAATATTTAATATTTCCATGGTTTCAATTTAAAAATACTCTGAGAAGCAAATGAGTAACAGAAATCAATCTATACTAAGAATAGTTTGGTAAAGTCTCAAAATGGTTTTACAGATTCAGGAACACTTATTTTGTAATTGAAAAGAACAGGCTGCCTCCCTGTGAAAGGTAGGAGGACTCTAGGTAGCAAAATGTATACTAGGAATCAGGGGCTACCACTGGCTAGCTATGCAACCTGAGGTAAGTTATAAACACCAAAATGAAGTGTCTGGAATAAATGATCTTTTCAGCTTCATAGTTCTAGTTGTTAAAAAGTGTGGGTCCCACTGGGCTCGGTGCTCAGCCTGTAATCCCGCGCCTTTGGGAGGCTGAGGTGAGTGGATTGCCTGAGCCCGTGGGTTTGAGACCCACCTGGGCAACTTGGCGAGACCTCATCTCTACAATAAATCAAAAATTAGCCAGGCGTAGTAGCATGTGCCTGTAGTTCCAGCTACTCGGAAGGCTGAGGCGGAAGGATCGCCAGAGCCCAGCAGGTCGAGGTTGCGGTAGCTGGGAGCGGCCACTGCACTCCAGTCTGGGTGACAGAGTGAGACTCCAACTCAAAAAAAAAAAAAGTCTGGGTCCTTTTCTAAACTCTTCCCCAAATGACTCAGTCATTCACACTGGTCAGTTTCTACCTTTTATAGACTCACAAGCATTTATATTACTGTTTGGTTAACATTAGAGCTTTGCTTAATGTCATCTGATTTTAGGACGACTATCTTTGAGGGGCTGAAAATAAAAATGGGGTACATTTCAATGAGTTCATTATATTATTTTAAAATATTTTATGTCATAATTTCCCCAGTCAGTAAATACCAACATTTTAAGGTGGTTTGGAAGATCATTAATATTGATAAAATACCTAAGTACAACATTAGCGCTAAAAATTATAGTTGAGTTCATGCATAAGAAACCAAAGTAGCTGAAGAAAGGGAGCCACAATGACTCAATTTACTTATTTTTATTTTTACTGAAGGTATTTGTCTTTGCTGATTACTGGTTCTGCTGTTAAAGGAATCACAGGATGCTTACAGGAGATGATCAGGGAAAATGCATCATAGCCTCTGGTCTACCCAACAGTGCCATTTATTTCCAGTAATACCAGTGTCAACAAATACTAATATCTTCAGAATTTTTCCCTACTTCTCTGAGAATCTGGGATCTAGAAACGTTAACACCAAACTGTGAGTGAAAGAGGTTTAAGGTTTGGTCATGCCTCAAATCCCAGTTTAGCTACTGACTGCCTGTATGACCTTGGACAAGTTATGTAATCTCTTTGTTTCAGTTTCCTGATCTATAAAATAGGTTAGTTGTATTAGGATGTGCCACATGAAATTCCCAATACCTGATTGTTTTGACCTATAAAAAAAGGCAATTTCTTATAGTTTAAACTAAATATAGAACTTACATCCTAAGGATGTTGAAGGGATTGAGTTAATACATATAAAATAATTAAAACAGTTCCTAGAAACTAGAAAATGCTCCATAACTTTAGCTGCTGTTATTTTAATTTTTTGGCGGTCCTTTGAAAGAGAAGGGAGGGTAAAGATTATTTCTTTTCTAAATCAGGACCTGATTAGAGCTACCTGTCTAATGAATGAGTTATGGAAATCATAGAGGCTCAGCAAAGAAACAGAACCTAAATTAAAAAAAAAAATACTGTAACATGAATTTGATATTTACTAAAGAAGAACTGTTAGAGATTGTTCATGTTTGTTTTAAATCAAGGCATACTGACAGGTAAAGGTAGCATGAGTATAGGAAGAAAGAACAGATTTATGTAAACATACCTAAAATCTGGCATAGATTCAACAGAATGGAGGCCTCACATTCTTAGGTGTAGGTATAGCTCAAATTAAAGATCATGTTCTAGAATGATAACTGCCTGTGGTATATTCCCATATGTTATCATTCTTTGTGTTTATCTGGTAAAGAGTTGCTGTGTCATAAGGGGGACTCCAAAACAACCAGAATTTATCTATTAAAAATTGTGCATTTATTCTTACATGTTTAAACTTCAGTCAGTTACCTTCAATGCACTCTCCATTTGATGCAATAAACCCATCAAGATGCCTTTTTCACTGCTCAAGACAGTTTTAGAACTTGTCAATTTTGGTGCCTTTTAGTGCTTCTGCTGTGTTTTGTTTCACCTCTTCCACATAACCAAAATGTTTTCTTTGAGGACTTTTTTCACCCAGGGAAACAAAAATAAAGTCATCTGGGGCAAAATCGGGTGAAGAGGAAGGGTGAGGCACAGGGGTCATGCCGTTTTTGGTCAAAAACTGCTGAACACTCAGCATGGTGTGAGCAGGTGCACTTTTAAATCACCCATCATGAAATGGGCAAATGTGTTGGATCTCCAAAAAAAAAATTCACTGAAGCCGAATGCAGCTTCTCACAACAATGCCAGCTGGTTACACTGATGCTGATGGGTTCCTAGAACACTTACCTAGTGGGGGAAGCCTGTATTGTAAGGGACCAGCTCTCCAAAAAATAATTCCATTTTTCTGAGTCCTCCATAAAGACAGTATGCAAGTAAAGGGTGGGGACAGATACCACTAATGACACAGGTGCAGACACAGTGAGGGTTCACTGAGGGGAATTACAAGAAAAGAATCTGCAAAATGATGCAGTCCTCTAAGTTCTTCTCTTGTAGAAAGGTGAGCCTGTGCTGGGAACAGTAGGATGCACCATAAATGCTACTTCAGCAGAGGGACAACACCCTTAGATCCCCTTATATATTTACAGAAAAACTGGAAGAGAAGAAAATACCTGACCATGTAAAAAGGGAAGCAAGCGCTTTGGTCAGGAACATGGGCTTGCTGAAGAGGGGAAAGTCAGAAGCTTGGTCATCAGTACTCGGGAAGTGTGCCTGACAACTTGACATCAGCTGGAGACACTGCAGCCCTGTGGTTGAGTCAGCTCAGTTCCTGCAGAGCTGGCTCCTCCCAGGTGAAAGTAAAGATAGGGCCAGAGAGCAGGGCTTTCCAGCAGTTGAAAGGTGTGTGCCTCACATGTGCTGTCGCTGTGTTTAAACTGAAGTTCTCAGGGCTGCTACAGATAGCCACCCAGGGTAAGCATCATTTGTGGAGATCCTGATGTCACCACACACTGGTGCATTTGCAAGGCCCTAAGGGTAACTGCACAGACAATTGGTAAATCTTCCAGTGTATTTGAAAGAACATTCAATCAGCATGCTTTTCTTCTAAGAAGAGTATTATTTAGAGGAAACAAAAATCACATTTCTTAAATAAATGACAATATTTAGTCTCAAAATATAAGTATGCCATTTGCATACACATTTACCTCCACAAGAGAAATTCGCTTAAAGAAAAAGGAATACAAGGATATAATAACGAAGGCATTAGATGCCCTGTCTCAGTTTTCACTGTTTCCACCTTTTCTAAAACCTATTCTCCAATCAAACAGTGGCATTTCTTTTCACTATTCCATTTCCAACGGTCAGAAAAATGGCTATATTTAATCAATTCTGATACCAATTACAGTTCTTTATCATAGGTACTCTAATTGAGCTTAGTCAATGTACCAAGTTTTGGTTTGAATGTCAATTTTGTTTCACTCTGAAAGCTCTTGTATTCTAATTTGGCATGGCATCCTTATCTGAGAATTTTTATTTTTGCAAGCATTTCAGGTATTCTAATGAGCAGTCTTTATGTACATTTTACAGGTTTAATGACAAGTTAATGAACTGCTCAAATTCATCTTTTAAAATTTCCTATTAAAACAATGGCTTGGGAAAAATGCCTACAATCTTCAGACCTTTAAAAGTTTTCCTTCTTCTTAAAAAAAATTGTCCAACTAATGGCTAAAAAGAACAGTGCTAAATCCAGGTCCCAACATTTCTGCTCTAATGAGAGACAAGAAATCACAATGAGGTGCTCATAAAATCTGAATCAGAAAACTTGGTTTCAAACACTGCCATTGCCTGTGCATCTGTGAGACTCATGAGTCAAGTTCCCTGAGGCTCAGTGCCCACACTGGTAAAACACAAACTGGAGTAGACAAACGCTAATATCCCTCCAGACTTGGATGGCTTATTATTTAACGGTTACTATTTCAGTTGAGCATGACTATTCAGCATTTCATGGAAGAATACTCATGTGGATGCAGTATTTTGGCTGTGTAATTTAAGTGTTCTTTTCTCTATCATTCACAACAAATACTAACATGCCATGCAAAAAAAGTCACAGTTTCTGGCACATAGTAGACAACTGAAAGTGTTCATTGAGTAAATGAATGAGCTTTTAAAAAGGAGAACATCTGATATATACTATTTATGGACAGATGTAGAGTATCACTATATAAAAATATTATATTTAAAATAATATCTGTCTCAAAGGATAAAAATAAACCACCAGATGCTAAAGAATTAACATTTACACTATATGTCTCAGTTGGGATTTCTAAAAGTCTCTCAAACTATTCAACATTTTGATTCAGACTAATGCTTGAGAATTAAAAGTTTAGGTGATGTGATATATTTAAGTGGATATTATACAGTGTTCAGCAGTTACTCTGTCTTATGGGGATATTTATTTACTTACCAGGAAGGTTGTGCCACTTGTTCACGGCAAATAATCTGTTAGCAGTGACTGTTATCACAGCAGGAGTTGCCAAACCAGGCTGGGTGTTGGCTGCCACATGAGTGACAGGGGAGTTGGAGGGAAACTTGAGGACCATGATAACATCCTGCTGGGCTTGGTCTGTGAACATCAATGGACTCTGCAGGAGGAGATACTGTTGAGTGGGCATGACAAGTCCCAAATATACAAGAAGGAAAAGACAAAGAAAGACAAGAGAGAGGGCGCAGGAAAAGAAGAGGAAGACCATGTTAACACAACTTGCAAGAGAAAGTGCAATGAGCAGAAAGCCTTGTAGAAGTAGCAATTAGCAATCTGCTTGTATATGTACCTGTGTATGTACCTGACCCTGAATTGTACCTCACAACTTTAAAATTAAAAAAAAAAATTTGCTTGTGTTTCACATACATCATTAGTTAACATTTTTGGTGACTGAAGTAGAATACATAAGCAGAAACACTTGAAAAATCTATAAATATTATTAGCTCCCCTTCCCTCCTCACCATGAAAAACTAAAAGAATGATTTTATTTAGTTTCTAGTTAGGCAAACTATTGGGGACTGCATCAAACCATTCCAGTTGTTATTATGTGTCACATATGATATTTTAGTACTTAAAAAAAATTAAGAATAGACAATAGGCATAAAAGCAAGCCAAGGTAATTTCAAAAGTTGTGTTTTGTTAGCATAAGGACTTTGACAACTAATTAAAGAGACAAAACCAATATATTTGGCCGGGAGTGGTGGCTCAAGCCTGTAATCCCAGCACTTTGGGAGGCTGAGGCAAGAGGACTACCTGAGCCCATGGGTTCGAGATCAGCCTGGGTGACATGGTGAGACCTCGTCTCTACAATAAATAAAAAAATTAGCCGGTTGTGGTATCACGTGCCAGTAGTTCTGGTTACTTAGAAGGCTGAGACGGAAGGATCACTGGAGCCCAGCAGGTCGACGCTGGGGTGGCTGTTAGTGTGCCATTACATTCCAGCCTGGGCAATACGGAGTGAGACTCCAACTCAAGATAACCCAAAAAACAACAAGTATATTTATAAGCAATAGTTAGACTGTATGTATATATTATTACAGTAGAGAAATAGCTTATGAATGTAATACATGAACTTAATTTTAAAGGTTTTCAAAGCAATGCATAATTAAGTGGACTTGCAAAAACAATATATTTATATAGTATACCAACTCAGAAATACTGCCTATTGTAATGCAAATGCCACTGCCTTCTGCTGTGGGTAGGAATAAAGAGAAATACCTAGATGTCCCTCCTCCCTGCTGGTAGGAAAAAAAACCCCTAAAACTCAAGACTTTGTTTGATTTCTCCTTTGAAAAGCAGAGAGTAATTGAAAATGTTAAATGAAACACTGTCGACTCTAATAACCAGCAACCAAATAAATCTTGAAGACTACTAAGGATTTAGAACATTCCTACAACCCATATGTCATAATCTGAGACATATATAACATTGCCCTGATTTACTGGCTTTATTTATACTTTGCGGTAGTATGCTATCATACAGTAATTGCACTGTACATTTTCAGCAATTCTCTCCTACCATGTCTATTTTCTAATAGCTGATTAGTATCATTCAGAATCGAAACACTGATGAAATGCTTCTGGCTGCTTTCCTACTGCCATATTTCAAAACACCAGGTATATGTAAATGTGTAGGCACATATATTTAACACATATTTATTCAGAACTGGTAATAAAAAATTAAATACATTTGCATTTTTATTATCAGTCCTTTTAAAAAAGTTATTAAGAGTACTTAGAAAAACATATTGCACTAAGAATTCCTATTTGCACTCTTTGCATAAAGGTGTAAATAAAGGCAACTAATAAGCTACCCAGACACCCTTCTGAGCAAGTGGCTAAAAGCCAATCAATATTATGAGTTAATCCTCCCTCGATGCTCATTCAATTAAAGGTGTCAGTAATGCCTCATCTGATGTGGCCTCAATTAAATCCAACTATCTGATGGTGTGAAAACACAGGGGGATACAGCAACAGCAGCAAAACCAGACAAATAGGCAGCCTTCGTGTGCCTGCTAATTACTACACCTGGTGTATATTATGGCTCATGCACTTAACGCAGCACGAGGTGGCTTTAATTTCTGCTATATTCATGCGTGTGTGTGGTGGGGAACATTGATGGTTGATGGGGAAACTCATCTGAATGTGAGTAAAAACAATCAATAAACATGTGGGCCTTTGCTTTTTAAAACCCTACTATCATCAAGTAATTTCTGTCATAGAAAGAATCTTTTATACAGTTAAGGAATTCTGTGAAATTAGGTAAAAATGAGAAATGAGGAGCAGCAACAAGGAAAATATCCTACAAGCTAATTTTAGAGAAGTTCCAGGAAAAGAAAATGAACATCATTTTGAAGTACCAAGTCTTATTTTTCAACTACTTAGCTTTGTAATAATATTTACTAAAGTCAATTTATAAACTCGGAGAAAATCAGAGTACAACATAATCATAAAGCCTCACCAAAAGGAAGTTCATACATATTTCTGAGTTTAACAGCTCCTATTGTAAATATAATTAGGCTTAAATTGATTAACTCCAATGTTTATACCCTTAAAAAAGAATGTCTTGTTTACATAGTGACTCTAGTGAGCCGACTCTTAGCCACATGGCAAGGACAAGCCACTTTCTGCAGTAAGCAGCAGACCCCATGTCCAGCCCTGTCCCCTGCACTCTTAGCACGAGCTGCCCCTGCGGTCGTCCCAGCACACCTGTCCTGACAGGAGCTCCTCAACCGGGCAAGTGGCAGGAAACTCTCTGGGGAACGCCATCATATCCTCTACTAAAAAGTAAGAATTTCTAGAGCACTAGCTATAAGAAAAAACACTCCCCGCCCTACTGGGCTGGATGAGCAGAGCATCTGGTAAACTAGTGACATGGGAGCAAACCCTCTTCTATGCGGGCGCCTGTGAGCTAAGGCTGAGAGGCACAAGTAGGGAACTGTGGGCCAAATTCCATTCAGTATTCCCAGAGTAGGTGTGTGTTTGTTGACAACTCTGGTTCTTTTCCAAAAGCCTTTCTTTCCCATATATCTATGTGAAAAACAAAATACACGATTGTACAAGTCTGAAAGTTGTTCAGGTATTCAAATCAGAGGACACAGATCAGGGAAGGATGGTCTCCAGTCCTCACGTGAGCATATGCCTTCCCAGTCAGTGCACCCTGGAGACAGTCAAGCGGACCTGCCTCAAACAGCCAGGAATCCGATTGCCGTGGAGGAGGGCCGGCAGTGGGAAGCTCCCACGCTGCCCCAGTGACCAAGGCTGTGCAGTGACCCCGGCAGAAAGTCAATGGAGCAGGGAAGGCACTCCCATTAGCCAGCACCAAAGCAGCCTGAGTCTTGATGACAAGCTATTACTAGAAGCCCAAACGTAAATCATTCTTACTATTTTTATGGCATTATCTTCCATTGTTCTTGCTAAATGTTCGCTCTTTGTGTAGTCTTCTCTATCCACTAAAGTCATCCTTTATGGTCATCTAAATCTGATTTCACTCATTTAAGAAAGCTTGGGGAAAAGGTGATGCAAATAATTTTTAGTTGTGGTTTATTATTGTGGCCAATTTACATTAATAGAGAAAGAAAAGGAAAAAAAACCTTAGAAGAAGAAAGAATATGACAAAGAAAAAGGGGAAAAGACACAGAGAAGAAGGTGATGCAGAAAGAGAAAGGAGAAAAGTAAAGGAAAGAAAAGAAAAGAGAGCCCGAGGTCACAGGGCATTGTCTCCCTTTCTTGCTGTCTTGGCTGCTCCTCTCTCCTTCCCAGGATCTGTCAAAATTCTGCCATCATTAAGTTACAATATGAAATTTGGATTTGTTTAAATTGTTCATTATATTTATGGAAACGTTTTATTTTTTGTTTTTATGAGGGGCAATTCAAGGAACTAATAATAACTACAGTCTAGTCCTTAAAAAAATTATGTCCGTCATGCAATTCAATTGGTTACTGTGCCAATTTTTTTTTTCTCATTGAAGAATTTCCCCCCTAAAGTTTCAGGAACTATAAAGGTAGAAGGGCCACATTATTTAGCAGCTTAAGTCTATTTCCCTACCCCTGATTTGGAGCTGGCTTCTGAAGTGCTTTGGCCAACAGGACATGGCATAAGTGATGTGTTAGTTCAAAAGCAAGACTCAAGAAACCTGGCCGCTTCTGTCTCCATTCTCTTGGGACACTGCTCCTATAACAGGAGGGGCCTGGTCTAACTTTCTTGAGGATGAAAGACCACGTGGAAAGAGAAGCCCAGCCACCTCAACCCAAACCCCAGCAGTGTGTGAGTGAGCAAGACAAACCTTCAGAATCATGAGAAAGAAAATAAATCATTGTTTTAAGCCACAAAGCTTGGTGTGGTTTGTTTTACCAAGCTATCGCTTCCAGCCCTGTGGTCCCTGACCTTCAGCAACAATACTCTTTGTGTTAGAATTAGTTTTAAGATTCCTGAACTGAAAAGCATATTGAATGTAAACAATAAAACACAACAGCAAAACTGATCTAGAAACTCACAGAATCAAACCAGAAAACGTATTAACCCTGTATCTGGAGTCCTTTCTCCTGCAGTGAGGATATATGACTAGTATGGACTTTGCAGTTCTGTAACAAAACACAAACTGAGGAAACACTCGAACACTGGAGTGATGTTCACCTTCTCAAAGACTCCAGGAGAGAATGCAATAACATTTGCTAGCCGTTAGCAGGCTAACAAACACGGCAAAGGAAGGACAGGTCCAGATGTGGTGGAGACTCACAAGCACAAGGAAGACCACTGTGAACATCAAGCATATTCTGCAGGAGAGGCAAGAACCAGGGAGTGAAAGCAGCACTTACCACCTGCATGGCAGAGCCTCTGGGAGGATGGGGTTCTATGAGTAGCTGAGAAGGCGTCTGTCCAAAACTTCGGATTTGAGCTTCGACAGCCTGAAAAAGGCACAGGCAAGTTCGAGGGTTAAGAGGTGCTAATTACAGGCAATAGAACCACAACTGTCACCTGAAAATGTCAGTCGTACTCTGGCTCTTTTCAGGTTGAAAATCAAACAGTGTTTTCACAATGAGGCTGAGCACGTGGCAAGGGCATTGAGGGTGAGGTCATCCTTTAGTACCAGGGAAGCTGTTCCTATGAAACTGCAAAACTTTCTCATCTTGCTCAGTGATATGAAACAGAAACCAGCTATCATGATCAGAAATGGTCTTTTTTGGCTTCATCTCTGTTTTCTTGCATTTGGTTTTCCTGCTTGCATCATTCCCGATGACAAAAAGCTAATCTTTTACAGGTATAGAGAAAAACTATTGCTTCTTTGATTCTAGGCCCCATTTCATTCTGGGAAGTAGAAAGGAGGAAAAAAGAAACATAGCACCTGTGAAAATGGCTTGATGCTATATTAATTTTGCCATAGGAAGAACATTATTATTGACAGTCCCTTTGAAGTTAGATAACAAAATAACAAAGTAAAGGCCATATGCTGCGTCTAAGCACGAGACAGTTAAACTAGGGACCAACTAAACATAAGAAACATGTGTATGTGTGCCCTTTTGAAAAGATGTGTTCGTGTTCCTTTTGCAAGGCACACTCCCACTATGGCTCTTGCTACAAACCTAGCACAGATGCCCACTTCCCAATCACCAACAACTCCCTCAGCATGGGAAACTACTAACTGCCAGGTGCTATTACTGTCTATACTTGTTTGATTTACTTGTTTATGTCTGTCTCCTCTCACACAAATATAAGGATCACAAAAGCAAGGGCCTTAAGGATCTTCACTTCAGATCCCTAGACTGGCTAAATGAATAAATGCTGAAGGATGAATGAGGGGAGAGAAAGAGGCAAAGCTATTCGAATGCTTCTTCAGCACTCCCTCGACAGTCAGTATTCTTAACTCCCAGGTTAAATGGTGAAGAAAAGCCCTGGAATTCAAGCGCATATACGTTTGCCAATTTTTTTTAACCTCTAAGAAAATAGGTCTTCAATTTTTATATGCTATGCAGGACCTTCACAGTATAGGCAATTAATAAGTCATAAACAAGAAAATATAATCATTATCCAGTAATAATTTCCTTTTTTATTTGCTGAGGATACCACTAACAGTCTTTCACAAGGACCTCTGTAAAGAAACAATGATAGCATTTATTCAGGTATGCATTCAATGATCATGAACTATGTACACAGCACTATCTTAGTATCTCTGCCCTTGAAGAATGCATTTCTGATATAGGAAGCAAGGCAAATGTACTTGGAAGGTTGAATAACAGTTTGATGCAATCTATCAGATAAGTTTCAGAAATATCTTGTGCTTTATGAACTACAGAATCTACAGCAAGTTACTTCTCCACATTTCATTTTCTCTCCTGTAAAATGTGGATAATAATAGTCCCTACTTCTTAGTGTTATTTCAAGGATAAAATTATATGTATGTAAAAACATAGCAAAATGCTTTGCATAGATCACACCCTCAATATGCAGTCCACAAAAATTAATTCAGGACTGTTAACAACAACAAATATTTATTTAGTAGTCACTATTTGCCAGGAACTTTTCTAAGTGATTTACTGTCTTATTACAATATCCTTTAATCTTTCAAGTTTATATCCATTATAGCTAAAAGGAATAATGCACCAAGAACTTAAATATCTTGCCCAAGATTACACGGTAATTAAGCAGCAGGTTCAAAATCTGCACCCCAGCAGCTAGACTCGAGAGCTCATACTCTTAACCATTAAGCCATTCTGCCTCCTTATCTGTTAGTTATTCTGCCAGGCACTAGAGAGGATTGAACATAAGAACATCAAGTCCACCAAATCTTCACTGGAGGAGTAAAACATTTGCAGGGCACTGCTGAGGACCACAGTGTCTACCTGCAGCTCCATGTGTGTCAACCTGAGCACCAGACATTTTAACTATGTAAACTCTGAAGGTCTCAGGGCTGCTCATGAACTAACATTTGGTCTGCGGTGCCCTGTGACTATTCAGCTTAGGTGCTGTATCAGCTTTGCTTGTGTTTAGGTTTTAGTTTTAAGTTTGATTTATGTATAATGTCTTCTCTATTCACCAGTGGGATAGCTTAGAACTTGGTATCTAGGAATAAGTGTAAAACATAAAAAAAACTTCTATTGGAATAAAAAGAATGAGCACAAGAAAAACACAAGTTTACAAACTAATGAATGAATTAATAAAGTATATTATGTCATCCTCACCCTCATTATTACAATGAACAAAGTATATTCAGACACAAGTAGTACAGAGCGGTATGATTGGACAATGGCAGATTGTAAATAGTGGGAGATAAGGCTGGCCCTAGACTAGTATTAAGAAGTCAACAGGCAGTGAGAAAGGGGATGAGGATCATTTTCAGTACAGTATCTAAAATATTTTTGATAGAGCAAAATTAATTTGATTAAATATTAAGGACAATCTTGAGGATAAAAAGGCAATCTGAAGCCTAAAGGTAGTCACAAAGAAGGAGGCACTGTTATTTTAGGCTACGTGGATTTATGGACTGAGTGTATGAATGAGAGCCTAAGCCTCTTTGAAGAACAGCTACACTTACCCTTGATTGCTGCCTTCTATGGTCCCTGCCCAGCAGCCCACATGCCTTTCCCCCCATTAGTAAGGGAGGGGAGGTGGTGGAGAAGAAACTACTTCAGCACTCAGCCTAAAGTGTCAGATGGCTCACAGTGCTAATCCTGGCTCTGCCACTTACCTGCTGTTTGACTTGGGGCAAGCACCTCATTTCTGTTTTCCAATTATAAAATGAAGATAATAAGCCGGGCTCGGTGGCTTATTCTGAGCCTTTGGGAGGCTGAGGCGAGTGGATTGCCTGAGCCCGCGGGTTTGAGACCCGCCTGGGCAGCGAGACCTCATCTCTACAATAAATCAAAAAAATCAGCTGGGCGTGGTAGCACATGCCTGTGATTCCAGCTACTCGGAAGGCTGAGGTGGAAGGATCACCGGAGCCCAGCAGGTCGAGGCTGCAGTGGCCGGGAGCGGCCACTGCACTCCAGTCTGGGCGACAGAGTGAGACTCCGACTCAAAAATAAATAAATAAATAAAAATAAAAAATAAAATAAAATGAAGATAATATACCTAGCTCATAGACTTGTTTGGAAAATGAAGTAAGATAATTGTATATAAAGTGCACAGCACAGTATCTAGCACACACAAAGCACCGCATTCAATGCTGCGTTATTATTAGGTATGAGACTCGGTGTGATCCCCATTTCACACAGCTAAAATAGGGAAGGAAGAGATGCTTTGGGAGTTTATGCAGGAAGAGAATGATAAACACATTATTTTAGGAAACTGAAATCTGGCTCAGGATTTCAAAATGTACTACAGGGCTAAGAGCCCAGAGACAGAGAGATCTCTTTGGAGGTTCTGAGAGCAGTCCAAAATATAAGGAATTGTACACCTCAACTCTGTGGAAGTTATGCTAACAGAAAGAAAGAGGTGAATGTGTGACCCATGGCCAAATGAAAAAATCAATAGATCTTAGCTGAGCAATGAAGACAAAAGAGAAAAGACAAAACTAATTCCTTTTTTTTTTTTTTTAACTTGCATGTCTCAGAGACTAGTAAAACTATAAGCAGAAATAAGAGTTTCCATTAGGGTGACTCAGTTTGGCAGGAGAAAGACATTACATTTTATGTTGCAAACATGAAATCTAAAGTAATAGTGATAGCCACTTATGTAGGTCAAGATGTCCAATGAGCAAAAGAAGGCCCAAGACTGGCTCTGGCATGAGAGATCAGAGGTGTTGATTTGGGCATCATTCATACACAAGAGAAATGTTTTCATTTTTAAAAAAAATCTCTCCTTCTTGCTGGGGGTGTGTGTGTGTGTGTGTGTGTGTGTGTGTGTGTGTACACGCGCAGAAATGGCTTCCTGTTTAAAATGAAATATGTGAATCTTCAATAAGAATATAAGCACATGGAACTAGGGTTATTCCCCTTTGTTTTCAAGTTCCACCTTGTTGGTGTAATATTTCCCAAATCTTTTTTTTTTTTGAGATGGAGTCTCACTCTGTTGCCCAGACTGGAGTGCAATGGCTGCTCCCGGCCACCGCAGCCTCGACCTGCTGGTCATTTTTATTATGAAATGGTATAATGAATATCCATATACCCATCAGCTTATTTCAATAATTATTAAGATATATGGCTTTAAGGCATCATAAAGGGGGCCCAGTCGACAATGTGTTAGATTCAATGAAAAATAAGAGTTTCTGACTTTAAGCAATTTATTTTTAAAAATTCTAATGCAAGACTACACTGAGAATGAAAGTATCTTACAGCTGGCAGCCTTCCTATTTCTTCTGAGGGGTTGAACACATCCAGACTTGCAAGGAAAGGTTCAATCCTTAAGTTGCAACTTTTGATTGTGTAACTTCTCTAATCAAAGTCCTTTCATTCTGAATCCTTAACATGGGTAGCAGCATAGTACAGGGTTAAGTATGCAGGCACCGGAATCAGACAGTCTCATTTCAAATCTTAGCACTATCACATATTAGCTCAATCACTTTAATTAAGTTACTTCACCATCTGTGCCTTAATTTCCTCATCTAAGAATTGTGATAATAATTGTCAGCATTGTACTAGGTTGTTGTGAGGGTTACATGAGATAATATAAAGTACTTAGAACAGTTCTTACTTCACAGAATGAACTATCACTAAGTGTGTGATGTTATTACAGCATATGTGAAGACAGTGCCTGGCCAGGGTTAAGTAAGCACTCAATAAATGTTGCCAACTACTTATCATTAACATTAATAATAAGAATAATCTAGTTCCTACCACTGTCCATCTCACACTCTATATAATGTGACATTTAGTGTGTTATATTGCTTTTAAATCTTTGTATATATTTTCTTTTCCTATTTTTTCTATTCCCCTTCTCTGTGTGGTTTTCACCTTCTCATTCTTGAAGGTTT